GCTTCAGTGATGTCCGATCGATTGTGCATTGCTTCAAATGAGAAAAATCAGGTAGAATAAGGCGAATGATCTAATGATAGGCCACACACAGTATCTTTTATAGACGCTGATATCTGATACTGACATCATGTCCTGCTGCGGATGGTTTTGCGGTGACGGGTAACAATTTTAATAATAATGTTCATTTTTAATAAAAAGAGGAAAAACGCAGTGGACATGCTTAGTCTAACACCTTTTATTGTTATTGACTTTTGTTGTTTGTTTCTCAAATTTTATTATTCTTCTTATGCAATATCTTAGATGCGATGGAGGATACGCGATGAGCGCATGGAGTCATGTGATCAGAAAAGGAGCTTGTACTGGAGGATCATACGGACAGAGGGTAACCAGATAGTCACTTTTATAGGTGGTCGCCTAAAGACTAAGTTACTGTTCTTAAGAACGTGTGCAAACCGTATCCTTTTCGTCCATGCGGACATCACACAAAACACCCAATTTACGAGCAATGTCCGAAAGAACGCCAGTCTACACCAAAATGCAGTTCCAAGTGTTCACCTGAATATAATAAGACCTACAAAGAAGACTTGATTCATGGTACTGAAAATTAAATTTGAAAATCTTGAACTTTTGATTTATATTGCATTGATTTCAAGCGAAAAAAGCTCACTACTTGGAGACGAGCGAAACAGAAATTCAAAAAGAGATAATGGCGAATGGACCTGTACAAGCTACTTTCAAAGCTTATACAGATTTCCTCACATACGAGAAAGGAATTTACAAGGTAAATATAATTTTCTGTTCGTTGCGTAATTTCCCGTAATTTTTACTCTAATCTCATTTTTCCGCAAATTTCATACATTTGACAAGGTGCTCTATATGAAGTAAAGTTCTTCTTTGCTCTGGCGAGACCTTGCACATAAAGTTATGGCATTGCAAATTTTTCAAAAAGTAGAAGGAGATTCTAAACAGTGAGAGCATTACATAATTGATTTACCGATACCTTTTTCAAAAATTGCTTTCTTACTTACTTACTTAGATACTTAGATGGCCTGTCTTCACTTGTCGTGCAGGCCACAGCCTTGTTTTCATCCGTTCCTGTCTCTCGCTAGCGTCATCCACGATGTTGGTATTGAAGTGCGGCGGCGACGTT